AGGATTTGTTTTGTGGAATTGAAGACTCCGCGTGGAGTTGGACAACTAAGGATTGATGTCATGAACCATGGTCCGTTACTGTGTGCAGCACATTGGTTGTTGTTTTGTTGAATAATCATATCAGGTAAAATATTTATTGGTAAATTGTTAATATTTTTTTGTCGGTAAATTCATATTCATAATAATTGCAACTTTTTCTTCCTTTTGTCAATACGCAATTGTGACATAGAAAGTATTATTATGTATATGCCATGATTGTCTGTCAATGAACGTTGTTTTTTTTTGTTGTAAACAATCCGGTTCATTAATAATGAGCATTTCAAGTGCTATTACTCGAATTTGTTGGAGTGCATTTTTTAAATATTTTGTATGTTTTGTTAATAATTTATTGTGTTTCTATCTAATGTTAATGTAAAATGGTTTGTACTTTGCATATATGTATTTATATGTAGTTGCTTCTTAATTATTATAATTATTTGTTGTGTTTATTTATTAATATTATGATATTAATTAAAATGTTTACGTTGTTGTTTGTCAAATCTGTAACTAATTATAATTTTCATATGATAACTTGGAGTCACTCACGCATTATCCGCAGCGGAGCGCGGGCTTAGTTGCTAGTAGAGTCAAAAAGTTTGGAACTTTGGATACCCACAAAACGCCAATGATGGGCAGAATGCAAAGAATGTTTTGAAGTGAACCCAAAATCTCAGTAACATGACTTTTCTCTGATTTGTTTGTCTGCACTACCAAAAGAATGAAGAGTGACAGTAGTTAGTGGTGACGGGTTTGTCTCTACTCGACGAATTACAGTTGTTGGCATGGCATGGTGGCAGATCTCGAGGGAAAGGCAGAGTGTTAAGCAGCAGCTGGAAGAAAAGAAGTGGCATTCATGCATACATACATCACGGGAAAGCAAATTCTAAATCTCTCCATCCCTGTTCATTGAACAAGATTCTTGTACAATAATGATGTTCTTTGAAAAATGAGGAAGTACTGCCAAAGGAAAAGTACTGTAGTTTCGTTCACGGTCAGAAGCAGGGGAATGCTGGAGAGACTGAACTTCCACCATGCTTTACATAAAGTTATAATATGCTTTTTACCAGAAATGTACACAAACGGTTTCGTGGTGTAGTTGGTTATCACGTCAGTCTAACACACTGAAGGTCTCCGGTTCGAACCCGGGCGAAGCCAAATTCAACTTTTTTCCCAGTTGTTTTTCTTATTGGTTTTCCCTGTTTTCATTTTCAAACCACACAACCCAGAACAATCAGATTTACAGAGAGGTAGAATCACAGCTATATGTATACTGTATGAAGGCAAGAAGATGCCACAAATTCCATTGTTCTACTCCCTATGCTACAGCTCTGCATTTACAATAAAATTGTGGAAGCTACCCTTATGGCCGGCCTCCTATGATATATTCCCATAACGGCTTAAGAAAAAGTTCCTAACTTTGTGGTAAGCAGCCCATCACTTAGAAGGTATCACATTTCCATTTCGATGTCGGGATGCAGCTCAGATACTTGCACCAATGGCACGATTCATGACCATTCACTCCCCGGAATAGCATTACCAGCGCCACAGTGAACCTGCAACCAAACAAAACCATACTCGAGGGTTGATACGATGCTCGCAACAAAAATCATTAACTGCATTTCCAGAAACAACCAAGGAGGAAACATGGGACTGACCCTGCAATGAGGAGAGCCAGAGAAACAACCCACAGGACGTATTGGTAGGGCTTGTACTTGGACTTGAAGCCAGCACCAGCAGGCAGATTCCGACGCTCCAACCAGGCAAACTGTGGGCGAGGAAGCAAGACGAAACCAAGTAGGAAACCAGACAGAAACCCTCCAATGTGTGCGAAATTGTCAACGTGTGGCAGAATACCAATGGCCAAGTTGATTGCTATGATCACAAAAAGAGTAACCAGCGCTGCAGCCTACATTCACCAATGGATGCAATCATAAAAATTAGGAAGCAGACCATTTTATGAATATGATCATCAGCTCCATCACAAAGAAAGGTTTGAAGTTTGAACTGTGTAACCTTGTTGGTGTAGATTGTCCAATTGGTGATGAGTTCTGACAGCATTGCTCCCAGTAGGCCAAATAGAGCACCCGATGCTCCCACAGCGATACCAGCTCTAAGAAACAGTGAAGAAAGGACACTCCCTCCAAATCCTGACACCAGATAAATGATCCCGACTCGAACTGCACCACAACCCACCATAAACCCAGGAATTAGCTTATAAACACAGTCAAGCTGTAACGCACAAATTCGAAACTAGACAACTACCAAATCCAAATTGCTGCTCTAGACGAACACCGATGACGACCAAGCTCAGCATATTGGCAATGAGATGGATTATGCCGGCATGTAGCCACATACAAGTCACAAGCCTCCACCCTTGATGTTTCTCCACAATTTTCCCCCATTGTAGAGCTCCCAGCTTCTCCAGCCTATTCCAACCCCATAAGAAACCAAATGAGGCATTATCAGTACTCCTAATTGGACTCAAGCATCGATTCTATACACACCTAGACCCCAAAACTCAATCCAAAGCAAAATGCCTCAAGCATCGATTCTCTCTACTCTTAAAACAGAACTTGTTCTTCAGCAATATAATCTCATTACTAATTCTTCAATCTGCAGCTAATAGCAGCTACTACAAGCAAGAAACCCAAGAAATTGGGATTCAAGAAAAGTTTTTAACTAAAATTAGGCATACGTACGTGGCAGAGGAAGGGCCAAAGAGTGGGTTATCTCTAATTGGCTCGAAGGAGAATCTCCCAAGGAATCCGGCGACGCAGCTACCCTCCGCCCGCGAGTGGTACTGCTTCGGGCAGTCGTTGATGTACATGGCGACCAAGAAAACGGCGATGTTGGCAACGACGAACATCGGGACCAACCACGACGTCCACTGGGTCCCCGTCTCTTCGATCAAATACGGCGCCGACGTGGATGAGTACCCATTTCCGGCGGGGCTTCCTCTTCCTCCTCCGCCACCGCTCTTGATCCCCCTGCCTCCTTCCAAATCACCACCGCGGGCCATGCTTCTCTAGCTTTCAGGACAGACGGTAATCAGGGTGGGGGGATATGTTCCTTCTCCGTTTTATTTGGGAAAGAGAGGGGAAATAGCGCGTTTTTTTAGGGTTTTCTCTTTTCTGGTTGGGGTGGGAATCCGGAAAGGTTGAGGAGTTGGTGACGGGCTTTAATGGAGCTGTTTTGGTCTCTCGGGTGAGTGGCGAGAGAAGAAAGAGGGAAAGTGGGAGTGAAAACGGGTGTAATTTTCCAGGTTCTTCTCCAAACAGAGGGAATATTTATCGGAATCCTTTTCGTAATCCGGCGCGGAATGGGATTCGGCCACGTGGTGTGCTTTGTCTTTTTTGTTGCTGATATGGCGCGAACCCAACCTTGGGCCTTTGTGATTGTAGGTGGATTAGGCCGTAGGTGAGCCCATGGTGTGTACTGTCAACTGTGTAGTGACAGATATGTGAAATAGGCCTTCTATCTCTACAATTTCATTATATACTAGGTTAATAGCATTTTGTAGTGTACTCTTTTACTACGTTAAATTAAAAAACGTACTCATCTATTAAATATTGTACATACATAATCTTCTAATATTAAAAAGTAACAAGTTTACCCTTTCATCCGATTATTTGATTAGTGGTCGTTAAAGGAGTTGTAAAATTACTCAATTGCCCCTCATAACACTCATAATTTCGATTATATCGAATTTTTTCCGCAAATCAATTAATTAAAAGAAAAAATCCCCCAAACTAATTCGCACGCACAGAAACCGTATGTCTCACCTTAGTGGTTAGTCATCATATTTTCTAACTGCATTACATACTAACCATTGACTTCTAAAGATGAAGAATAAATAATATTTTTGGACTATGATTATCGATTACTATGCCATTTAATCTCCATTAGATATTGGAATGCAAATTATAAACTATTAATTGTTCGAAGTCGCAAAATGCGTAAGTTTTCTCTAACAAATTCACATGAGAAAAATGTTATACAGATTCTCATGAGACAAAGTGTGAAGTGTCTAAAATTATACAAGCTTTTTAGTTTGTGAGGAACTTATCATAAATGTTAGTCATATTTCTCTCGTATGTATAAGGAAGATACCTAAGAAATGAACGAATAATTTGAAATAAATAGGTTTAATATAGATTAATCGTTCTCTAGTTTTGTATGATCCGGTGGGAATACTTGGATCTTCGAAAGTCCAGCATAAAGCACTATCAACGACAAATATCTTACATTAATACATCGTAATTCGATCACTTGTGTCCTCTTAGAACTATCATCCTAATCTTACACATATTGACAAATGCTTACTCATTTAGTCATTGCTTGACAACTACTATGAGCATTCTGTCTTTGATTGCGTGATAGTTATATAACTAGTTGGAGAAATGCTTTTGCGGGTTAACCAACAACCCAACCGCACTCATTTATCACCCAACCAACTGAACTCGAAAAAGAATATGGGTGGATAATGAATTACAATTATACCAACTCACTTGTAACCGAATGGAAGTGTGAGTCAATATGATATAAAAACCCTCCTAAACCGCCCATTGCCAACTCCGAATGGAAATGTACGCATATGGTAGTTGACCAAAACCCAAAGCCCAATAAGTTAAGGCCCATTACTTCCCTCATACTTGATTACTAGGTTTGGTTCCGGTCATTTTCACTTCCTTCTTTTGCCAAAGTTCACATTTCGCACCTTAATTTTGGTAGTTTAACCGATACTCTGCAAGACTGCAACTCAGCAACTGTAGCGCCTTCCGTTTGCCGGCGATGCCCGACCCCGAGCAATCCTACCCTCCAAAACCCTAAACCCTTTCTTTTTTTCCCCCCCGCCGGCGAAAGAAATGGCTATCCCCACACTTCTCCGCCTCCTGAAATCCCGATCACAGCCTCTCCGATTTATCCAACCCGCTCTTTACATCTTCACACCCTCCAAATCAATGTCCCAATCCACCGCGATTCCCAGGAAGCAGGTGCGAGTCCGCGACCATGGCTACGACAACTACATGGAAGTCCAGAAGAAAACCCGGCGGGTTCTCAAATTCCAGACCTTGATTCTCCCCCATCACAACCAGACCATTCCAGTCTCCCGCCTCGACGGCCTCTCCCGCCGCCTCGGGTTCAAACAGTACGAGGCCGGCGCCTTCATCCTCAAATTCCCCCACATCTTCGAAGTCTACGAGCACCCCGTCCAGCGGATCCTCTACTGCCGCCTGACCCGCAAGGCCCTCGTCCAGATCCGGGAAGAGAAGGAAGCCCTCCTCGCCCAAGTCCCCGACGCCGTGGTCCGATTGAGGAAGCTGCTGATGATGTCTGGTACCCACCGCCTGCGATTGGAGCACGTCCGGGTCGCCAGGTCAGAATTCGGGTTACCCGATGATTTTGAATACTCTGTAGTTCGTAAGCACCCTGAGTATTTCCGATTGGTTGATGCCAAGGAGACTAGGAACAAGTACATTGAGATTTTGGAGAGGGATCCCAAGTTAGCTGTTTGTGCGATAGAGAGGGTTAGGGAGAGGGAATACAGAACCAGAGGTTTGGATGCTGAGGATTCCAGATTCTCATTTCTCATTGATTTCCCACCAGGGTTCAAGATAGGCAAGTATTACAGAATTGCGGTGTGGAAGTGGCAGAGGGTTCCTTATTGGTCGCCTTATGAGGATATCTCGGGTTATGATTTGAGGTCGATCGAGGCTCAGAAGAGGATGGAGAAGAGGGCGGTGGCCACGATACACGAATTGGTGTCGTTGACCGTGGAAAAGAAGATTACTTTGGAGAGGATCGCGCATTTCAGGATGGCGATGAATCTGCCCAAGAGGTTGAAGGAGTTCCTGCTTCAGCACCAGGGGATATTCTATATTTCGACTAGGGGGAATCAGGGGAAGCTTCATACTGTGTTTCTTAGGGAGGCTTATAAAAGAGGGGAGTTGCTGGAACCGAATGACTTGTATTTGGCAAGGAGGAAGTTGGGAGACCTGGTGTTGATGAGCCCTAGGAAGGCTAGAGTTGATAGGGAGTTAGTCAGTTATAGGAGGGATGGAGACGAGGATGATATGGAACGAGTTGGAAGAGTCTATGTGGAAAATGAGTTCAGAGGTGAGAGTTCTAATGTGTTTGATGGGAAGAATGAAGGGGGTGATTTGGTCTCCAATTTGAGTAGTGACGAGGACGGGGTTTATACAGATGGTGAAGGAGATGATCCAGAGGATGCTTGTGCAACTGAGTAAAGGTATTTCAACTTGCTGGAGCTAATGTGACGCTTCAGAAGCAGATACCCTTGTGATTCAAGGAGACGTTGAGAGCTGCACAAAAGAGAAATTACAACTGAAGATCTCATGAGAAGGATGTGCATTGGTTAATGAACACAACAAGACAATCAGATGGGTGGTGCTTTGCACATTTTGTCCTTCGTGGGGTTCTCAGGTATAAAGTTCTGATGGCTAGCATTGCTATGAAGTTAGCTCTGGAAATAGCCTATTCAAGTTGAATACTCATAGTTGGGTAGCATCAAGTTCCCGCTTCTGGCAGTTGGTGGTCGAGGTACGAGTGTCGACAATCACAGATGAATGTTTTCCAGAGTTTAGCGTTAATGGGGTCCACGAGCTCGTCTTTGTTCGAGTAAAACTGCACAGAGAAGTATTTCAAGTTAATTACTATGTTGCTAGCTAGCTAGCTAGTGATGATCTCGTCAACACCAAATTCTCTAATTAGACTAAGATGTTTGGTGATATATAATACCAATTGGATGGATGTAAATACCACTTGTAACCTATCAACATTGCCCAAGCACGTCATTGATTGTAACGTGGATGATACTATATATTAATTATTTAATTATGAAGTGATTAATATAAATGGTGATTGTTCTAGTACGTAAGAAAAACATTATTATTATAGTATTTTTTTTTTTAACAAATACAATATTATCATAGTGTTTATTACACGCTTTTGAGAGGGAATGATGTGTAAAAATCCTAATTTGTAGAATGCTACCAACTATTGGACCATATCACTATGGTAGCCCATTGCACCATCATCATACCGCATCAAACCAATATGGTAAACAGGGTTATCTAGTGTATAATCAAAGACTATGCAGCAGAATCCAACACGTTATAGGATGATAATGAGTCAGGTTTCTTCAAACTCAACCTGGTAAATATCATTTGTGTTTTGGAAGAAAAAAATCCAACTAAACCCAACATATACCAGCAGTGGATGGGCACCCATGGTTCAAGGGTATAACTGCAATTATAACACGAATAATTTCTCTGAACACCACTCACATCCCTATGATATAGATATTAAATCCTAAAACTATATTCCTCAAAGGCTAATAACATATATATATACTCTATCCATATTATTAGGGCTAGATGCAAAATGACGTCATTTTTCTTGTTGGGTGCGATAAGGATTTTGCCAAAACCTGCACCCTAATCAACCTTGAGAATTTGAAAAGTGGGTAAAACCAGCACCCGACACGGAATCCATCAATATTGGTTTTGCTCGATTTGATCGTGTCAGGCATGATTGGGTACTATGGGTACACAACACATTAAAGATGTAAAGACAATAGAGTACAAATAGGATCTTCTTCTAATTAATAATCCATGACAGGAAAGTAATCGCCATCTCCTCCACCACTTTCATCGCCATCTCCTCCACCACTTGCATCGCCATCTCCATCTCCGCCATCACTTGGATAAGAGTTGGGATCATCTTGATCGTACCCATAAATGTCATTTTGTTTACGCCTCCAAAATCTCTTCTTTCTTGGTGTCATCTTTGACAAATCCTTCTCCAGAATAGCTACATTTTGTTGAAGTATTGCAGCTTCCCTCTCTTTCTTCTCCACAGCCCACTTTTCCGCTTCACGCTCCCTCACTTGCCTCTTGTATGCCCATTCCTCTTTCTCCTGCTCTAGTCTCCTCTCTTGAACATTCATTTTTCTGTTTTCGTACTCCATCCTCGACTTTTGCCTCTCTCTCATATCATTACCAAACTCTAGCAGTTGAGTAGTGTATATGTCTGACGATTCAGCAACTACCTTACCTTTCTTCTTTGCTGCCTTTTGTTTGTCGCGTCCTTCAGGGCGAGTCAACACGAAAGGCGTAGCTCCTTCATCTGGTAAGTCATCAAGGCCTTCCACGGGAGATGATTGAGAACCAAAACCTGTGGGAGAACTTTGGGAACCTTGACCCATAGGTGGAATGGGACTAACAAGCAGGTCAGGATTGGAGTACCACTTTGGACAATTTCGGAGAATGTCGAAACAATGCTCAAAATCAAAAGCCTTGTTCCCATTCTCTTGCTTATATATTTTTCTTGCCTTCTTTTCCTAATAAAATATGTAATACATGGGTTAGAGAAGTTTTTATTGACACATAAAAAATAAGAAAATACACAAGTTGAGGGTCCAAAAGAATACCACATCAAACTGGTTCGTGCCACTCGATTGATGCCTTTGTGCTCTTTCCAAAACTCCCTTCCAAGCATTGCAGTGATAGCAAATAATCCTCATTCGAGATTCCATTGCAATAGCAGTACGAATTGTAGTAGGATCCCATTTTTGATGTTCTGCCGCCACTCTTTCCCACAACCTTGTAGACTTCTGGTTGGTGCCAACCGCTCCATCTTCTGATATCGACACCCAAGCTCTGCACAAGATTTCATCTTCATTCGAATGCCAATTAGGTCCTCTCTTGCCTGTCATATTTCTATTTTGAGAGACGATTTGAGAGAATGCGATTTATGCTCTGAGAATGAGTGAAGAGAAATCTATGAAGAGTGCTGTAATATATAAGAAAAAATATGGCCGTTAAAATATGACCGTTTTTTATGGCCGTTAAAATATGACCGTTTTTTTCGTCACTACATCAATTATTTCAAATTTATATTTCAAATTGAATCACAAACAACCAATGAGAATAGAGGAAAAAAAAATCCAAAACAAATTGGCAAAACAAATTCCCAACCAACAAAAATTAAAAGAAAAAAAAAAAAAAGCAGCACGTCAGCTGGCCACTTTATTGGCAGCCAAATTTGACTCCCACCCCAAAACCCAGCCAAATTTCACTCCCAAAAACCCAATACCCATTTATTGCTTCCCATTTTTTTGTGGGTTGGAGGGAGGAAAAAAGCCAAATATGGCTTTATAGCATTTTGAGTGGCTGGGTTGGAGCTAGTCTGAGTGCTGATAGTGCTGCTGCTGATATGAGCTGGTTGTTGCTCGCCGAAAGTGTGGTACTTTTGCTTTATAAACCGACAATGGTGTTCACTGTCATCCTAACGGATTGTGCTGAGCAGAATGCATGCAGACCCACATTGAAGGTGAAAGAAGAGAGAGCATATGTCCTTCTGTCGGCGAGCATGACATTGATTTGTTCCCTAAAGGAGACCCACCTTCTATTGTGATGTAAAAGGTTTGTCATTCATGTCTAGCTGTTGGCAATTGTATTTCCGAAACTCCCAAGTTAATATACACTAATCTAATTGGAATAAGATATGGGAGCTGATGGTTTCTGTTTCGTCAACACACATGGCAGACAAGTTATGATGACTGGGATTTTCATTTCCAGGTCGAGTCCAATTTGGTAGGTGGATTTTTGAGCCCTCGCTTTGATGCCACGGATGTTATCATTGACATGTTCTCTGCTCATCATCGTGTTTAGAACGAGGAAATATATTGCAGAGGCCAAACATACTATATGTTTAGAACGAGGAAATAAAAATATATTGCAGAGGCAAACATACCATCTGATCTGATCGAGGGCGGTCGAATGAATTATGGAGGCTCAGCTCTAGAATTGAAATGTGATTTGATTTTCATAGTTAGTAAATAGTCCGTTTAATACATGTATATGTAATTGTACGTATTTTATCCGTTTAAAATTTTTATATCTGTATTATTGTCAAGCTGTTTCATTTCCCCGTTCATTTGATGGCTCCGTACTAAACACGTATAAAAGCCGTATATCACATTTATTATCCGTATTTTATGAATTAAATTGTTTAGTTTACAATTATTTATATATTTATTTGTTTTTAAAATAATTATTTTTATATATTTATGACTATTATTGTACTATTAAACGTAATTTTAGCTTAAAGACGAAGTATAATACCCGTATGTATTTTATACATAACTTTCCCGTACCGTATTTTACTATGTTGATTTTTCAAGTATAATAAAAGAAAAGTGGCCATATTATTAGGTGTAAACAATAATTTGAAATCAAATTATCTATCAACTCTTTAATTTTTTGTATTATATGAAAAATCATTTTCAATAAGCATCACTGTTAATCAATTAAGGATTTCTTGTGTCATTTATAACACAAATAAGACTTTCAGAACACGAATAGGACTTTAACGATGAGTATACATACCTATATATATAGTCAATCATAAACCACAAAATCATCATATAATGTAGAATTAAATCAACTAACAGACCTAAAGTGAAGGCCCCCATAATATTCAGAGGCTTTATATTGGAGGGTCTCTCGGCACACCTCATTGACCGGCCTTGATGATCACATATAACTATTAACTAAGGACGGTAATAGTTCAATCCACAAGTAGCCGAAAATCATAATCAAAACTAATGTTTGGATTGAACACGCTGGATAGTTCGATTTGGTTTTGATTTTCAAATTTAAAATCTTGTTTACTTTGGGTTTACACTGGATTCATAAAGAAAATAAAGAATCAACTCATCCAAATCAAAATCAATTTAATGCATTCATGATTAGTCGAGTCTAATCCTCATATATCATATGTACATTTTTCTCCATCTAATCTTGATACCAACTTGGTATGATTTCGAATTCGACTGGCTAATGAACACCAGCTACCTAAAGCCAATGGATATTGTTTAAGGCGAGGAAAAATAATTCACATTTCCTACCATAGTCCAAAGCACAATAAACTCTATGGACCTCCACTAGTCACCTCCATCCTGCCTTTTACGTATTGCTCAGATATTTTTCACATACCTAATTTTGTAGCACCTTTTTTTAGCCCTTAATATTGTGCCTTGAAATGGTTCACTGGGTTGGATACAGTCTTCACCTACGTCGCCCTAAATGACGAATTACGATGGTGGCTTGCCACCTAATACACATAATTATCATTATCAAGTGGAATTCACATGTATTTGTGAAGTGTGAACTGATGCATGGCAGATAAGAAAGGGGAAAATGGACCAAAATTTGGCATTTGGTGCCTTTTGACATCAGGAAACGGTGAACTAATATCTGAAACTTTCCACTTTACTTTAGTTAATTACTATGTTGCTAGCTAGCTAGCTAGTGATGATCTCGTCAACACCAAATTCTCTAATTAGACTAAGATGTTTGGTGATATATAATACCAATTGGATGGATGTAAATACCACTTGTAACCTATCAACATTGCCCAAGCACGTCATTGATTGTAACGTGGATGATACTATATATTAATTATTTAATTATGAAGTGATTAATATAAATGGTGATTGTTCTAGTACGTAAGAAAAACATTATTATTATAGTATTTTTTTTTTTAACAAATACAATATTATCATAGTGTTTATTACACGCTTTTGAGAGGGAATGATGTGTAAAAATCCTAATTTGTAGAATGCTACCAACTATTGGACCATATCACTATGGTAGCCCATTGCACCATCATCATACCGCATCAAACCAATATGGTAAACAGGGTTATCTAGTGTATAATCAAAGACTATGCAGCAGAATCCAACACGTTATAGGATGATAATGAGTCAGGTTTCTTCAAACTCAACCTGGTAAATATCATTTGTGTTTTGGAAGAAAAAAATCCAACTAAACCCAACATATACCAGCAGTGGATGGGCACCCATGGTTCAAGGGTATAACTGCAATTATAACACGAATAATTTCTCTGAACACCACTCACATCCCTATGATATAGATATTAAATCCTAAAACTATATTCCTCAAAGGCTAATAACATATATATATACTCTATCCATATTATTAGGGCTAGATGCAAAATGACGTCATTTTTCTTGTTGGGTGCGATAAGGATTTTGCCAAAACCTGCACCCTAATCAACCTTGAGAATTTGAAAAGTGGGTAAAACCAGCACCCGACACGGAATCCATCAATATTGGTTTTGCTCGATTTGATCGTGTCAGGCATGATTGGGTACTATGGGTACACAACACATTAAAGATGTAAAGACAATAGAGTACAAATAGGATCTTCTTCTAATTAATAATCCATGACAGGAAAGTAATCGCCATCTCCTCCACCACTTTCATCGCCATCTCCTCCACCACTTGCATCGCCATCTCCATCTCCGCCATCACTTGGATAAGAGTTGGGATCATCTTGATCGTACCCATAAATGTCATTTTGTTTACGCCTCCAAAATCTCTTCTTTCTTGGTGTCATCTTTGACAAATCCTTCTCCAGAATAGCTACATTTTGTTGAAGTATTGCAGCTTCCCTCTCTTTCTTCTCCACAGCCCACTTTTCCGCTTCACGCTCCCTCACTTGCCTCTTGTATGCCCATTCCTCTTTCTCCTGCTCTAGTCTCCTCTCTTGAACATTCATTTTTCTGTTTTCGTACTCCATCCTCGACTTTTGCCTCTCTCTCATATCATTACCAAACTCTAGCAGTTGAGTAGTGTATATGTCTGACGATTCAGCAACTACCTTACCTTTCTTCTTTGCTGCCTTTTGTTTGTCGCGTCCTTCAGGGCGAGTCAACACGAAAGGCGTAGCTCCTTCATCTGGTAAGTCATCAAGGCCTTCCACGGGAGATGATTGAGAACCAAAACCTGTGGGAGAACTTTGGGAACCTTGACCCATAGGTGGAATGGGACTAACAAGCAGGTCAGGATTGGAGTACCACTTTGGACAATTTCGGAGAATGTCGAAACAATGCTCAAAATCAAAAGCCTTGTTCCCATTCTCTTGCTTATATATTTTTCTTGCCTTCTTTTCCTAATAAAATATGTAATACATGGGTTAGAGAAGTTTTTATTGACACATAAAAAATAAGAAAATACACAAGTTGAGGGTCCAAAAGAATACCACATCAAACTGGTTCGTGCCACTCGATTGATGCCTTTGTGCTCTTTCCAAAACTCCCTTCCAAGCATTGCAGTGATAGCAAATAATCCTCATTCGAGATTCCATTGCAATAGCAGTACGAATTGTAGTAGGATCCCATTTTTGATGTTCTGCCGCCACTCTTTCCCACAACCTTGTAGACTTCTGGTTGGTGCCAACCGCTCCATCTTCTGATATCGACACCCAAGCTCTGCACAAGATTTCATCTTCATTCGAATGCCAATTAGGTCCTCTCTTGCCTGTCATATTTCTATTTTGAGAGACGATTTGAGAGAATGCGATTTATGCTCTGAGAATGAGTGAAGAGAAATCTATGAAGAGTGCTGTAATATATAAGAAAAAATATGGCCGTTAAAATATGACCGTTTTTTATGGCCGTTAAAATATGACCGTTTTTTCGTCACTACATCAATTATTTCAAATTTATATTTCAAATTGAATCACAAACAACCAATGAGAATAGAGAAAAAAAAAATCCAAAACAAATTGGCAAAACAAATTCCCAACCAACAAAAATTAAAAGAAAAAAAAAAAAAAGCAGCACGTCAGCTGGCCACTTTATTGGCAGCCAAATTTGACTCCCACCCCAAAACCCAGCCAAATTTCACTCCCAAAAACCCAATACCCATTTATTGCTTCCCATTTTTTTGTGGGTTGGAGGGAGGAAAAAAGCCAAATATGGCTTTATAGCATTTTGAGTGGCTGGGTTGGAGCTAGTCTGAGTGCTGATAGTGCTGCTGCTGATATGAGCTGGTTGTTGCTCGCCGAAAGTGTGGTACTTTTGCTTTATAAACCGACAATGGTGTTCACTGTCATCCTAACGGATTGTGCTGAGCAGAATGCATGCAGACCCACATTGAAGGTGAAAGAAGAGAGAGCATATGTCCTTCTGTCGGCGAGCATGACATTGATTTGTTCCCTAAAGGAGACCCACCTTCTATTGTGATGTAAAAGGTTTGTCATTCATGTCTAGCTGTTGGCAATTGTATTTCCGAAACTCCCAAGTTAATATACACTAATCTAATTGGAATAAGATATGGGAGCTGATGGTTTCTGTTTCGTCAACACACATGGCAGACAAGTTATGATGACTGGGATTTTCATTTCCAGGTCGAGTCCAATTTGGTAGGTGGATTTTTGAGCCCTCGCTTTGATGCCACGGATGTTATCATTGACATGTTCTCTGCTCATCATCGTGTTTAGAACGAGGAAATATATTGCAGAGGCCAAACATAGTATATGTTTAGAACGAGGAAATAAAAATATATTGCAGAGGCAAACATACCATCTGATCTGATCGAGGGCGGTCGAATGAATTATGGAGGCTCAGCTCTAGAATTGAAATGTGATTTGATTTTCATAGTTAGTAAATAGTCCGTTTAATACATGTATATGTAATTGTACGTATTTTATCCGTTTAAAATTTTTATATCTGTATTATTGTCAAGCTGTTTCATTTCCCCGTTCATTTGATGGCTCCGTACTAAACACGTATAAAAGCCGTATATCACATTTATTATCCGTATTTTATGAATTAAATTGTTTAGTTTACAATTATTTATATATTTATTTGTTTTTAAAATAATTATTTTTATATATTTATGACTATTATTGTACTATTAAACGTAATTTTAGCTTAAAGACGAAGTATAATACCCGTATGTATTTTATACATAACTTTCCCGTACCGTATTTTACTATGTTGATTTTTCAAGTATAATAAAAGAAAAGTGGCCATATTATTAGGTGTAAACAATAATTTGAAATCAAATTATCTATCAACTCTTTAATTTTTTGTATTATATGAAAAATCATTTTCAATAAGCATCACTGTTAATCAATTAAGGATTTCTTGTGTCATTTATAACACAAATAAGACTTTCAGAACACGAATAGGACTTTAACGATGAGTATACATACCTATATATATAGTCAATCATAAACCACAAAATCATCATATAATGTAGAATTAAATCAACTAACAGACCTAAAGTGAAGGCCCCCATAATATTCAGAGGCTTTATATTGGAGGGTCTCTCGGCACACCTCATTGACCGGCCTTGATGATCACATATAACTATTAACTAAGGACGGTAATAGTTCAATCCACAAGTAGCCGAAAATCATAATCAAAACTAATGTTTGGATTGAACACGCTGGATAGTTCGATTTGGTTTTGATTTTCAAATTTAAAATCTTGTTTACTTTGGGTTTACACTGGATTCATAAAGAAAATAAAGAATCAACTCATCCAAATCAAAATCAATTTAATGCATTCATGATTAGTCGAGTCTAATCCTCATATATCATATGTACATTTTTCTCCATCTAATCTTGATACCAACTTGGTATGATTTCGAATTCGACTGGCTAATGAACACCAGCTACCTAAAGCCAATGGATATTGTTTAAGGCGAGGAAAAATAATTCACATTTCCTACCATAGTCCAAAGCACAATAAACTCTATGGACCTCCACTAGTCACCTCCATCCTGCCTTTTACGTATTGCTCAGATATTTTTCACATACCTAATTTTGTAGCACCTTTTTTTAGCCCTTAATATTGTGCCTTGAAATGGTTCACTGGGTTGGATACAGTCTTCACCTACGTCGCCCTAAATGACGAATTACGATGGTGGCTTGCCACCTAATACACATAATTATCATTATCAAGTGGAATTCACATGTATTTGTGAAGTGTGAACTGATGCATGGCAGATAAGAAAGGGGAAAATGGACCAAAATTTGGCATTTGGTGCCTTTTGACATCAGGAAACGGTGAACTAATATCTGAAACTTTCCACTTTACTTTAGTTAATTACTATGTTGCTAGCTAGCTAGCTAGTGATGATCTCGTCAACACCAAATTCTCTAATTAGACTAAGATGTTTGGTGATATATAATACCAATTGGATGGATGTAAATACCACTTGTAACCTATCAACATTGCCCAAGCACGTCATTGATTGTAACGTGGATGATACTATATATTAATTATTTAATTATGAAGTGATTAATATAAATGGTGATTGTTCTAGTACGTAAGAAAAACATTATTATTATAGTATTTTTTTTTTTAACAAATACAATATTATCATAGTGTTTATTACACGCTTTTGAGAGGGAATGATGTGTAAAAATCCTAATTTGTAGAATGCTACCAACTATTGGACCATATCACTATGGTAGCCCATTGCACCATCATCATACCGCATCAAACCAATATGGTAAACAGGGTTATCTAGTGTATAATCAAAGACTATGCAGCAGAATCCAACACGTTATAGGATGATAATGAGTCAGGTTTCTTCAAACTCAACCTGGTAAATATCATTTGTGTTTTGGAAGAAAAAAATCCAACTAAACCCAACATATACCAGCAGTGGATGGGCACCCATGGTTCAAGGGTATAACTGCAATTATAACACGAATAATTTCTCTGAACACCACTCACATCCCTATGATATAGATATTAAATCCTAAAACTATATTCCTCAAAGGCTAATAACATATATATATACTCTATCCATATTATTAGGGCTAGATGCAAAATGACGTCATTTTTCTTGTTGGGTGCGATAAGGATTTTGCCAAAACCTGCACCCTAATCAACCTTGAGAATTTGAAAAGTGGGTAAAACCAGCACCCGACACGGAATCCATCAATATTGGTTTTGCTCGATTTGATCGTGTCAGGCATGATTGGGTACTATGGGTACACAACACATTAAAGATGTAAAGACAATAGAGTACAAATAGGATCTTCTTCTAATTAATAATCCATGACAGGAAAGTAATCGCCATCTCCTCCACCACTTTCATCGCCATCTCCTCCACCACTTGCATCGCCATCTCCATCTCCGCCATCACTTGGATAAGAGTTGGGATCATCTTGATCGTACCCATAAATGTCATTTTGTTTACGCCTCCAAAATCTCTTCTTTCTTGGTGTCATCTTTGACAAATCCTTCTCCAGAATAGCTACATTTTGTTGAAGTATTGCAGCTTCCCTCTCTTTCTTCTCCACAGCCCACTTTTCCGCTTCACGCTCCCTCACTTGCCTCTTGTATGCCCATTCCTCTTTCTCCTGCTCTAGTCTCCTCTCTTGAACATTCATTTTTCTGTTTTCGTACTCCATCCTCGACTTTTGCCTCTCTCTCATATCATTACCAAACTCTAGCAGTTGAGTAGTGTATATGTCTGACGATTCAGCAACTACCTTACCTTTCTTCTTTGCTGCCTTTTGTTTGTCGCGTCCTTCAGGGCGAGTCAACACGAAAGGCGTAGCTCCTTCATCTGGTAAGTCATCAAGGCCTTCCACGGGAGATGATTGAGAACCAAAACCTGTGGGAGAACTTTGGGAACCTTGACCCATAGGTGGAATGGGACTAACAAGCAGGTCAGGATTGGAGTACCACTTTGGACAATTTCGGAGAATGTCGAAACAATGCTCAAAATCAAAAGCCTTGTTCCCATTCTCTTGCTTATATATTTTTCTTGCCTTCTTTTCCTAATAAAATATGTAATACATGGGTTAGAGAAGTTTTTATTGACACATAAAAAATAAGAAAATACACAAGTTGAGGGTCCAAAAGAATACCACATCAAACTGGTTCGTGCCACTCGATTGATGCCTTTGTGCTCTTTCCAAAACTCCCTTCCAAGCATTGCAGTGATAGCAAATAATCCTCATTCGAGATTCCATTGCAATAGCAGTACGAATTGTAGTAGGATCCCATTTTTGATGTTCTGCCGCCACTCTTTCCCACAACCTTGTAGACTTCTGGTTGGTGCCAACCGCTCCATCTTCTGATATCGACACCCAAGCTCTGCACAAGATTTCATCTTCATTCGAATGCCAATTAGGTCCTCTCTTGCCTGTCATATTTCTATTTTGAGAGACGATTTGAGAGAATGCGATTTATGCTCTGAGAATGAGTGAAGAGAAATCTATGAAGAGTGCTGTAATATATAAGAAAAAATATGGCCGTTAAAATATGACCGTTTTTTATGGCCGTTAAAATATGACCGTTTTTTCGTCACTACATCAATTATTTCAAATTTATATTTCAAATTGAATCACAAACAACCAATGAGAATAGAGGAAAAAAAAATCCAAAACAAATTGGCAAAACAAATTCCCAACCAACAAAAATTAAAAGAAAAAAAAAAAAAAGCAGCACGTCAGCTGGCCACTTTATTGGCAGCCAAATTTGACTCCCACCCCAAAACCCAGCCAAATTTCACTCCCAAAAACCCAATACCCATTTATTGCTTCCCATTTTTTTGTGGGTTGGAGGGAGGAAAAAAGCCAAATATGGCTTTATAGCATTTTGAGTGGCTGGGTTGGAGCTAGTCTGAGTGCTGATAGTGCTGCTGCTGATATGAGCTGGTTGTTGCTCGCCGAAAGTGTGGTACTTTTGCTTTATAAACCGACAATGGTGTTCACTGTCATCCTAACGGATTGTGCTGAGCAGAATGCATGCAGACCCACATTGAAGGTGAAAGAAGAGAGAGCATATGTCCTTCTGTCGGCGAGCATGACATTGATTTGTTCCCTAAAGGAGACCCACCTTCTATTGTGATGTAAAAGGTTTGTCATTCATGTCTAGCTGTTGGCAATTGTATTTCCGAAACTCCCAAGTTAATATACACTAATCTAATTGGAATAAGATATGGGAGCTGATGGTTTCTGTTTCGTCAACACACATGGCAGACAAGTTATGATGACTGGGATTTTCATTTCCAGGTCGAGTCCAATTTGGTAGGTGGATTTTTGAGCCCTCGCTTTGATGCCACGGATGTTATCATTGACATGTTCTCTGCTCATCATCGTGTTTAGAACGAGGAAATATATTGCAGAGGCCAAACATAGTATATGTTTAGAACGAGGAAATAAAAATATATTGCAGAGGCAAACATACCATCTGATCTGATCGAGGGCGGTCGAATGAATTATGGAGGCTCAGCTCTAGAATTGAAATGTGATTTGATTTTCATAGTTAGTAAATAGTCCGTTTAATACATGTATATGTAATTGTACGTATTTTATCCGTTTAAAATTT